CCACCCGCACCCCCCGGAGATGTGAATCGCCCTTACAAGCGGGTGCCTCCTGTTCAGCTTTCTGAGCTTGTTTCTGTCTTGTTTAAAAAATCATCACCGTAAAAATAATTCTCATGCCAAAGAGACATACTTTGGGGTGAAAGTTCTGCTCCCATTGGATGGCGGTAGATGGAGGAAGATGGTGGATGGAGGCAGGGTAGCGAGAAGCAGGCGGCTTGTCCTGAAGGCGAGCTGGGGCATCGGTTCAGTCCGGGGAAGCCCTGGGGCGGGGAGGCTGAAGCAGAGCGCGCTGCACGCTCGCCGCTGCACTCCCCACCAGCAAACGTCGGCACACGGCTGCTGAGGGCACCCAGAATCTAGCCCGCCCCCACCGCAGCGCCCCATGGCGGGGGCACCGGGAAAAATTAATATACATACGAACACAAAAAGAAAAAGAAAAAAAACAAAAAGAGCTTGGCCTGCGGCCATGCCAGGGTTGATTCCCAGATTCCCAAAAGAGGACCTTAGTGGTCAATGTGAACCCAAGAATAATACAGCAACCGGAACCTTTGGGGGAGTCTGCTTCCTCGGGGCAAGCGAAGGCTTCAGAAGGACTCCATAGGCCCCCTTTGCCTGCCCTGTTCTCCGCGGGGTCATTGGAGCTGTCCTTCCCTCAGGCATGACCCCCCCCACCCCCTGGGTGAGCCTGCAGACAGGGGCCACTGCCACCAAAAAAGGTCATGTGGTCTTCCATGTTTTCCTTTATTTTCATGTCTTCATAGACATGATGTCTTTGATGTCTTTGTAACACGTGGCATAGTCATTTAGACACGATTTTTTGCTCAGCTTGTTCAAATCCTCGAAGAAGCTAATTTTGGGGGTTTACCATAAACCTTCTGTTTACAATGTTCTTACACAACAGGATCGTTTCTAAGACATCAGTGAAGAAGCAGTAGAAACTTGTTCTTAAAAGACCTTGTCTACCAAAAGAGCTCCTTCTCTCTCTTCTCCGAAAAGAAGCCTGTGTTTCCTTTGGAAACAATTCTGAGCCCGCGGTGCAGGGGAACGGCCAAGTTGGGAAACGCAGGGGCGGGGTGTGTTTTACACGTTGACGTCCCCTGAAGAGAAAGAAGTGAGGTCAGGCGGTCACTGACTAAATGGAGATTGAAGTTGAACATTACAAGAGCCTAGAATTAAGTGCTAACTACTACTTCCTGGATACTAAAATATTTTAGTTTTTTATTTGGACAATAAACATCTTGACAAAGAGCATACAAATGAAACATTAATGAAAACTTTTGTTTTTCCCTTTTTGTCTCTCAACGCCTGTCTCTTGGCTGTCAGATAATGTGTCTGATCAGAGAAAAGAAGCTGCCATGTTGGATGCATTGCTAATTTAGAGGTCTTGTCGAGGGGTCTAATGCAGGGTAGCAATTACAGCGATTTCCTAAAGCAGGGACAATGGTTTAAGTGCTGTTTTCAGTCACGGATCCTGTCATCAGCCCTCATGCAAACAGTTCTACGTGGGCAGGCAAACTGTAATTACAACTAATGTGGTTGTATATCATCATCCAAATTAGCTGGGCTTCAGCCTTGTCCCAGAAAGTGGGTCCTATGGCTCCTAGTCACCCTACCCAGGAATTCGGCATTGTCTCTTCACCCTAACCAAGAATGCATTGGTGAGGGGCACATGCTCATCGACATTTAATTTGAGGGAAAAAAAGAACCCACAGAAATGGTCGTATCAGGACAGGAAGCAGGAAGGCGCGGTGATTGGGGAGGTAGGGGCATCTCGACTGTGAAGGTCAAAAGATATTTGAGGTCAAAAAAGACCCAGACAGGAATCTTTGTAGGCATTTCAGGCAGTGGAGGAAGCATTGTTAGAGCATGAAACAAAAAAAGAAAGAACTCTTTTGCCCCTTGGGTGAGCAAGGAGGAGAAGCAAGAAAAAGTGGGAATTTACCGCACCAGTGACTGGAACTCTAAGTCAAAGAATAAAACCAACGCAACAGAGTAAACACAGAGACACAATACGCACACTTGGTGGAAGTGCAGTTGGATTTCTGAGCTGGGTTTTAAGGCCCCACTACGAGCCCCCGCGAGGTGAGGAAGCAACCGCCACCAAGGCTGCGCGTGTGCAGAGGGCCCGTGAGCTCTGCGCCGGGTGCCTAGCTGACTCCCAGCACGGCCCCCTGAGGAAGGCGTTGCCTTTAGAGAAAAGCTCTCAGAAAATCATGCAGAACTTAGTGAAGATCACTGCCGCCCTCCAGACAGACCGGGAGGAGGGCGGAGGTGCACTTTCAGGAGGGCGAAGGAGGCGGCTGGAAACTGACTGTCCAGACCCCTGACACAGTCGCGACGCCCACTGGGCCCAGGTCTCGGACAGGCCGTGTTCACCCTCAGTCCATGGAGAGGCAGGAAGCGGCCGAGCACAAAACTCAGGCCTGGAGACGACGGGGGGACACGGAGACCTGGTGCCGCGGGTCTGTTGTCCCAGTGCAGAGGCTATGATCACCTGCACCTCAGCCAGGGACACAGCAGGGGCGACTGTTGGCCGTAGAAACGTGCCAGCTCTTCTTGAAGCCGAGGCTGGCGTTCAGCACCCTGACCTCCCTTGGCGGTACCGTCGGAGGCCTGGTCTGTCCCCAGGTCCGAGGACACATTTCCCCACACGCGTCACGGGACCGTCTGCTCACACTGGCGTCTCAGAGGAGCACGCAGGTCCTGCCCGGGCTTCACGTCCTCGCCTTCATTTGTGCTAAGGACCCTCTTCATCGGTGACAGCAAATGTTTCTGTCACAGTGTCCCCTCCACCTGAACAGCAGCCAGGAAGCAAGGCTTGGTTCCGGACAGTAAGTGGATACCTCAGAGCACCCTTCACGAAGACCTTCAGGAGCCTCTGTCCGCCTGCTGCGGGGTGGCTTCCATTTTCGCCGCTGACATGCACGTCGGCACGGGAGACAGAGCGGCCCTGTGCGTGCTTGCGAGCGTGGGATGTTTCCATAAATTTCATGCCGTGACATCTGCCTGAAAGCCAGCCTCCGGCTTACGATCTTGACCTGCTCCGGGTTGTCCCCCTAGTTCGGCTAACCGTCCCCTCCCTGTAACGCATGCTTCCCGTGACACTTAATACACTCCGGTGGTTCCCAAACGTCCACGGAGCGAAGTCCAGGGAAACGCACTGTGACCGGGCGTCCGCCCGCCTCGCCGCTTCCCCGCTTCCCCACTTCCCCGCCCTCTCCCCCGTCGCCCAAGACTTACTCTGCGCTTCCTGCTTTTCCCCGGGCTCCCCGTCCCCTGAGCCCCCGCCCTCTCTCCTGCAGGACTCGCTCGCTCTTTTGTCCCTGCAGTTGGGATAAGAATTTTCTCGCCACAGGACTTCCTTCCGCGGCTGCGTGCAAATGCTGTCCTCGTAGTGACAGGCTGGTTCCTACGGAACTGTGAGCAGCGAGGCGCCGGCCTCCCAGGCGGCTTCTGTCCCCGGGAAGGCGAGAGCTGAGAATGAACTTCCCTCCCCTGCCCGCCCCCTTCGGGCCCCTGGGGCGGGGAGGTGGCCTCTCACAGCAGGGAGGGCAGCTTGCTTCCTCCGGTCTGCTGACTCCTGTGGAAACGCCCTCACAGACACCCCCAGAGATAACGTTTCCCAGGATGTCTGAGCCCCCAAGGCCCCTTCAAACGGACACATAAAACGAGTCGTCACAGCCTCAGTGGGAGAGTCGAGGCTTGGGCTAAGCTGCAGGTGGCAGGAGTCCGCGGTGCGCTTTACACTGTGGGGCAAACCGCGGGGATAATAAGTTGTATTTGGGGACAATGAACCTGATGTTGACGTCAAGTAAAGCGCAGGAGCGTCCAGATCAGACAACCCGCGTGAATCCTGACATGGCGGGGAAAAGAAGCGCGAAGAAGTAGTGAAGGTGACTCTTGTTAAGCTTTAGATGCTGTCCATGTGTTAAGTGCCATTTAAATCTCACAAAAGCCCTGCAGGGGTCCAACACTGAAATCCACGAGAGCCCAGGTGACTTGGGCAGGTAAACCGTGTGCCCAGCTTCACGTGCCTGATGATGTCCCATGACTTCGGTAAAGTCCAGAGGGCCAAGAGTCAGCCACGCGCATGGAAAGGGCTCAGTTCTCCTGATTCCTCATTTGTAAGTCCACCCAGGCCAGACGAGGTTCCCCAGAGCTGCTGGGGCCTCCGGGGACACGGTTTCTTAGGTAGTGAGACCGCCAAAGACGGCCGGTGTGCGTTCTGTGAAGGGCAGGCTGTGGGACCAAGACTCGGCTGGTACGTGGGGCGGGCTGACGGTGGCCCCGGAGGACACCATGGCCTCCTCCCGAAACCTGTCCGCGTTTCCTCACACAGCCAGGGCCTTGCACAGAGGGTCCCGGGAAGGGCTTTGAGGCGAGTCGGGGAGGTCTTCCTGGGGGCCCTGCTCTGCGCCAACCACAGTCCCAGGAGGGCGGCCCGGGCGCGGAGGCGGAGGCCGGCCCCCGGCGTCGGTGGGAAAGGCGAGGAGGGCGCCCGAGCGCCGGCTCTAGCACTGGGACCGGCCGGCGGTGCTAATTTGGGGCTTCTGCTCTGGCCTCCAAAATGGAGAACAAATTTCTGTGGTTTTAAGCCACCAGTTTATGACCATTCACTACAGCAGCCACGGGAAATTTATATAATGGCCAAACAACGTTGGAAGGCCTAAATCACCCTAAAAGTGTAGTAACACATCACCAAATTACACTCTGTCCACAGAGAAAGGTAAAAGGTCCTTCCACCCAGGAGTTCCTGGAAAGGGCGCCGACTGGCCATGGGCCGACCGGCCGACCCGCGCGCGTGTGCCCAGCCTCCTGGGGCTGACGCCGTCGCAGGGCGGACCGAGGTCGGGCTGGCACAGCTGACAGAGCAACGAGCGCTGACGTCGCAGCGCAGAGCGGCGGCCTCTGACCCCGGGGGCCCCGGTGCGGGCGCGGGCCAGCGGCTGGATGGCGTCGGGCCGGGGTCTGCGCGGTGCCCACACACTCCTCTCCCGCAGGCTCGGTGGGACGGCCTGACCGGGCGGATCGTCTTCAACAAAACCGACGGCTCGAGGGAGGACTTCGACCTGGACGTCCTCAGCCTCGGCGAGCAAGGGGCTGAAAAGGTAACCTCCTCCGGATAAATTCAGAAGCGAAGCGAAAGCCCCGCCCAAGCACGGGAACCGCAAACGCGGTTCAGGGGATAAAAGTGGTTCTCCCGGCAGGTTTTCTGCCCCCGCCCCCAATCTGCAGGTGGGCGCTTCCAGGCCGGGTTCCCAAATTCCGTCATCAACAGCAACGCTGAGGGACGTTTGTGTCGTGCTCAGTCCGAACAGGAAGCGCGGTCCTACTGCCGCTCACACAGGACGTTGTGGGGGTGGCATTGGCCCCACCGCGCAAAAGGTTTAAAAAATTAAGTTTAGACTTAAAAGATCAGGGGCTGCCAGCGATTTATTCTTGGAACGGTGTCCAAGGGTTACTCAGAATTTAGTTTTGATTGCGCTCTATTTCGAGGTTGGTGACAGAGGGACAAAGGGTCACCGAAAAGGCCGCTGGAGCAAACTAACTTTGTGTCCTTCATTTTAGGAGGAAATGTACCCAAAATGCATTTTCATGTTGGATTCTGACTTTAGGATTATTTTAGTTGTAATTCTCAGTCTCCCAAAGTTTAAAGTTCCACTATAGTTACTATTTAGAGCAATTCGAATGTAAACTATTTGGTTAAATAAAATAGAACTTGGTTTCTCAGTATATTTTATTATATCAATTTCAGTATTCACAACTACAACTTATGATTGACATTGATAGTGTGAAGGGTTTTGCCCTTTAGAAATCTAAAGAAAAAATATTCAAAACCCCTCAAATAACCACGTGAACATCAAAATTTTATCATCTAGCATTTTTAGTTTTTGCTGCAGTGGACTGGAAGCTATGCTTAATGTGAACGAGTATCTTTGGGAACAGTTACTTAATTGAAATATTTGGGTTGACTTTTAAAATGAGATGATTTTTCCATTTCTGTTTTGTTGATTTTGTTAACTGGGGCACTTTTTTTTAGGCTGTAACGGTGCCCCACCCCCAGCTTAATTACAACAAACCGACAGTGATTAGTGAATGCAATAGCAGCTGCCCGCTGGTGTTGAAATGTGGAGGAAGCTAATTAGTTGGCAGTTTTGAGAGTACACATTGCACCTACAGGTTTCCTGTTTCAAAACCGCCGCCGCCGCCTCCTCCCCCCCCTCCTCCCCCCTCCTCCTCCCCCTCCCCCCCTCCCCCCCCCGCCTCCTCCTCCCCCTCCCTCCTCCCCCCTCCCGGCCGCCTGCCCCCAGGTGTGCGCTCTGACAGCGTCCACCCAGCGCCAGGCGAGAGGGGACTGGGCTGGAGGGGACGAAAGGGAAGAACAGGGCGAGGGCCTGGGAGCCCCCAGCAGCCCCTGCGCCGGCCCCGCCCTGCGGCCCCGCCCTGCGGCCCCGCCGCCCCTCACGCACAGCGCGGAGGCGGGAGAAGAGCCACGACGGACGAGGCCCGTGCGCTCCGATGGGCGGGGCAGCGGGTGAACCTCTGCTGTGTTCCACAGCCGGTGGCACCTGCGTGTCACGCGCACCCCGCTGGGGTTCTTGATCGAGGGCGAAACCAGACCAGAGAGAGGAGGTGTTTTCTCGGTTGGTTCCCACCTCCTCCTGGTTCGCAGTGAGTTTTTTCTTCAGGTGCCTGGGGCTCAGGTCCGGGGAAGGCGGCGCCGGCCCCCAGGTCGGGGGGCACAGGCCCACCCTCTCTGCCCCGAGGGGGTGCCCCCTGGCCTTTGCCTCGCAGCCCCTCCTGCCACTGAAAACCATTTCGAAAAGCCCACTCTCTCCCTTTCCGTTGCTCGGAAGCCCGCAGCCCAAAAGCGAGCCACCAAGCGAGCTTGCTTCCAGCTGGAGAAGAGCGCGGGCGGCGGAGGGCGCGGCGTGCGCGTGCGGGGCGTCTGCGCGCCGGCCGCTCCTGCCGCCTGCGGCGTGTCTCCTCAAGGAGTCCCGGGGCCTTCAGCGCTCCAGCCCAGCTGTGCCTGTTCAAACGGATGTGGAACCACTTCCTTGATGCGTGAAAGGAGATGGGCGTCAGGCCACGGCACCGACGCGCAGGCACTCTGTTCCCGGCGGCGACCCCCGAGCCGCGGGGGGGGGCGGGCGGAGGGGGCAGTGAGACACGGAGCCCTCACTTGCGTGGCACCTTTTGGGTTCCGTGTTCCATTGTAATTAAGTGCCGTTTTTATTTTTCCCTCGGAAAACCAAGGCTGCTGGTGAAGTGTCCAAACACTTCTCTAAAGCTTGGAAGACGGTTGTACTCAGAAAAAGTCGGCAGGAAATCGGGGGGTAGGGTGTCCCAGGAAGGGCCCGCCTCCCCCAGGCCCGCTGCTGGCTCTGCCGGGGCGGGCGGACCGAACGCTCCTGCGGAGTCGGAAACCGGCCTACGCTGGGCTGAGGCGTGAGGGTTACAAAGATTCCCCCAGGTGATCTTCGCCTCTCCCAGGCAGGACCCACTTCCGTGAGGACGGCAAGCAGGTGAATGCAGCAGAAGCGTACCCCAGTGTATTTACATTCCGCCTCAAATCACTGAACTTTTTCCCTAAGGCGCATGAAAACAACAACCGCTTTGAAGCATCGGACCAGCACCGGGAGCCTTGCTCAGACCCCTCCCGGTGAGCCGGCTGCTCACCTCGCCTCAAAGTTTCTTTCAGAGCCAGTTTGCAGAGGACCAAACCATTAGGACTGTGGAGAGGAAACTAGGTTACCCTGTAAAGTACCACGCCCGCGATGCTCTCACAGGATCATGTCATCTGTGTGTCCGCACAGACTTATTATATAAGCAAACGGACGTTAAAAACGTTTGGATCGGGAGCATCTCCTGGTAATATACAAACATTCTTTCTCAAATGACCTGCTACGATATCTTTTGATTGGCAGATGGACCTTAAATTGTTCGGTTGGAACAGCTGTCAGGCTCACAGTCATCTTTGGAATTGCGACAGAGTGCACAGAGACTGTAAACAGTGGCCCCCTGTCATCAGAAAGCTTGTCTTCCTCTTGGTAGCACACAGCGGGCGAGCTCAAAATGCCCTTTTCAAGTTTAAGAAGACACAGGTTTAATCGCCCTGTGTTAATCCTCAGTGAATCAGGCCTCCACGAGTTCGGGGACGGCTAGTTGCCTTGTTTCTGTCTCTGGCGGAAGGCGTGCGGCTCCTCACTGCTCACAGCGGGACGGACAGACTGGCCCCCGGGAGAGGCCTGCCACACTGACGCAGCCGGAGGCCCAGGCACCGGCATGGAGTTAGTTCAGACCAAGTACCCGAGGGGACGGAACCCAAGCCCGAGATATAGGCAGCGGAGGGCACCGTCCTTGGCTTGTCACTGAGCTGCAGTCCCCAGCCCGTGTCCCCGCTGCCCACCCTGTGCCCTCGCGTCCCGCTGGCCCGCTGCTGTCCCTGCGCAGCCGAGTGTCCGGCGGCGTGCCGTGGACGCACCGCGCGGCTCGTCCATGCCGGGCTGTAGCTGGGGCTGCACACCGGCTGCTCGGACCCACAGACACACCCTTTCGCAGCAGGACCCTCGGGGAGAAGGGTCCCCGCCCGTTCCAGTTCCAGAGCCCTCCACCCCGCACGCTGCACGCTGGCCCTTTTCAGTGCAGAACAGTCCCTGAGAGTCTTCCCAGAAGGGAGATGCTGCCCATCCCTGAAATTCGCAGTCGGGAGGCTCACGGTTCAAAAACCAGGTGAATTTTTTTTCATTTTTTTTTTTTTAGATATGTAATCATTTCCCTGGGCAACCTGGGATCTGAGTCTATGAGGATCACAGTCTGGGTTTGGAGGAAAGATGCTCCCTGAACACTCCCTGAACACACTTTGGCTGCTTAACGCCCTCCAGGCTCTCAGTGACACGCTCCCCGAGGTTGTCCCGCATGATGCGCCCGTTACAGGGAGGAAGGCGGGGCCCTGCAATGCAGCGGCTGGTGTCTGCCCCCACAACGGAGCAGCCCACCCTCCACTGCTTCCCACGGGGAGGGTCCTGCTGCCTGGCTTTGCTGCACATTTTAAAATTAAGGCCCCGCTTCCTGGAGACACTCATCCGAGGTCCATGCACAGGGCTGAGAGGCTGTGTCTAGGCCCCTGGTCAATGCCAGCCCCCCACCCCGCCCCCAGCACGCCTGGGTCCCCGGGCTGCTTCCTCTGCTGGCGACAGTGGTGGCGTGTTCCTTCCCTGCCATTCGCAGGCAGAGTCCTCTGCCTGGGTCTCACGCATGCACACACATTCTGCTGGTTAAAAGGTCTGCCCACAGAGGGCCGAGTGTGCGCTGCCCACTCCCAGGGACGGCCTGTCCGCAGCTGTGCCCTCAGAGCCCTTCGCTCCAGATGTGACGGCACTCTGTTCACCCAGACATTAGGAAAAGAACATCCTCTTCTTCCTCGTTTTATGGAGGAACGTCCATCCTGAATGGGGGGCTCTGGGACCAGCGGAGTGGGAACGCAGCCAGCAGGGCGCCTGACCTTCCGCACGTCAGTGGGGCTGTGGCAGAAGTGAAAGCCGACATCACGCTGTGGGGTGTATGCACCTGCAGTTTGAGTGGGTGTTCAAAGGCCAGTGGTGTTCTGAGGCTGGGTGACATCGCCGTTTTTAAACATTAGCCTAGTTCCTCTGCACACACACAACGTGAGCAAGAAGAGGCAAGGGGAACACATTCCATGGCCTCATGAATTGGCTACGATTCATTAAGGCTTCTCCGCCTTTCAATGAGTAACTAAAAACGAGGGCCCGCACCCCACAATGCCTGAGTCGGGGTTTAGTGGGAGCTCGGCTAGGACCGAGTCCCAGCCATTGGTGGAGCTGAAGCCGGTCACTCACGGCCTAAGGCCGGGCCTGGGGGCACCGATGGGCTCCAGACCTGTTGACCTGAGGCCTGTGTCCTAGAAGCAAGTCCCTGCCTGAGGAAGGCAGGGCAAGGGTGGAGGGTTAGCGGGGAGAAGAAAAGGTTGCCCTCCTCTCTGCGTGCAAAGCCAGCCCAGGGAAACCCGAGCTTCTCGAACAAGCGGACACTGCGCGTTCTGAGCGGTAGGAGCCACGCCGGATGCAGCAGAGACCAGGTGGTGGTTCAAGGCGTTGCTCTGCCTCCTAGCTCCGCTCGCGGAACCTCTCTGCAGGCAGGGCCCACGTGCGTTCCAATGCAGGAGCTCCCTCTAGCCGCCGCCTGCCCAGATGGCCTCCTCCTCCACCCACCCACCCTTGCTCAGGAGGGAAGAAAACAGCAAAACCGAAATACTGCGTTGGCCAAAACGCCCTCTATGTGTTTTCTGTATGATGGCTCTAGCAGTGCGTACTGGTCTTTAACCTCATTCAAAACAATTGTGTTAGATTGTATTGTGACAGCTGTCGTATCAGCGTGCGTTTAAAAAAAACTTACCAAAATTGGTGAATTATTGTGCAGCCATTTTAATATGGAAGATGGAAGAAGATACACGATATCATTTTTGGTATATTATGCTTTATTACTTCAAGAAAGGTAAAAATGCAACTGAAATGAAAAAAAAAGATTTGTGCTACAATGTGGAGAAGGTGCTGTGACTGACAAAGTGGTTTGCGAAGTCTCTTGGTCCTGTTGACATGTTGGCCAAATAGTTCCTTGCCACGGGCTGTCTCGTGCATTGGAAGGTGTTTAGCAGCACCCCTGGCCTCTCCCTGCTGGAAGCCAATGGATAGCCAATGTACTCAAAATATCCAAATCAATAAAGCTATGAGTAAAAATGATAAAGGCGCCTTTCATTTTACAGATTAAGAACGTGATGGACATTTTGGCCAACACAGTAGTTCACTTGCTGTGCCCTCGTGGGAGTCCTGGAAACTCCTTCAGAAAGTCTGCTTTCATACTTGTCGAGCTGGATGAATTCCCAGCCGCTGTACTTAGGCAGTAAATCCAAGAAAAGAAACAGGAGGAGGAGGAAGGGGCCTGAGGTTCCTGTAGGTGCTACTTTAATCCTCAGGGTTAATCACGTCCCCCAAGGTCACGCCGCTGGCAGGTCGCCAAGCTAGGACCTGGTCAGAAGTCCGGGTGAGGTCGCCCCTTCCCGCCGACAGGTGTCCTGCCGCTCACTGCCAGAGCACGTCTGGGAGTCGGCACAGGTGTGCCCCATGTTCCCGAGTCTGTCCCTGCTTTTCTTCCTACCTCCTTCATTTTATCTGATTCTAAATTTAAAAAAAAAAGAAAAAGAAAGAAAAAACGTCACCGACGAATGCACGTTTCTCCACAGCAGGCGAGCCTGAGACCCCGCTGGGCAGGCACGGGCTGTCCTTTGTTGCTGGTGTTTGTGTAGCTCTCACAGCACCTACCAGCCCTTTCCCACGCAGCCTATTCAATGTCCCTGTAACGATTTCCTCAGTCAGGAACCCCGGCTCCGGCCGGCCAAGGTCGCATCTGGTCCGAGGCCACCAGCCGTGGGGCTGCCCGGGCCTGGGGCGTCCTGCCGGCCCGGGGCGCCCTGTCCCTCCCCGGGACAAGGGGCCGCCCTCCCGGGCTCTGATCCCCCTGCTGCTCTGTGCAGATCGGCGTCTGGAACTCCAACGGCGGGCTCACCATGAGGGGCGGCCGCGCGGACCGGCCCCGTGACGGCCCCAGCTCACTGGCCAACAGGACGCTTATCGTCACCACCATCCTGGTAAGTCGGCCGCACGCAGTTTGGGGCGTCTCATTGGGGCCCCAGGACCTCGAAGGGCTCTCCGACCACCTTTTCGGTGTGCACAATGCGGCCTGCGGGCGCTAGTTTTGATCGGGACACGGAGGACCACGTGTGCACGTCCCTGAAATGGGACAGGACCCTCAGCTCCGCTCCGCGCCCCTCTGCTGGCGACCCTTGCTCCGCCCTGGGCGCCAGCCGCGCGGCACGCAGGCGAGGTGCCGGGAGTGGGGCGCAGACCTGGGGCATTTCTTCCCCGCCTCCCGCTCCGGGTCGGAAACGGCCCCTGCGACGCGGCCCTGTCCCCTGGACAGTGCAGCTCCCAGACCGGCTCCTCCAAAGCCCAGGCCCGGGCCGCCCGCGGGAACCCCCGCCGCGCACCTGGGCTCCGGCCCACCAACCCCTGTGCCACCCCGACCCGCGGGCGGGGCGGCGTGGCCACGCCCGGAACCCGCATCCTCCCGCCTCCCCGCTCCTTTGCCTCAGCCCCTGATGCCAGACCAGTTGATTTCTAAAACCGCTAGCCTCGGAGACTTGTGCATCCAAAATAACCATTTCTCTGCAGCTGTCTCATGGAAAGGCAGAGTTTTCTATTTCTATCGGTTAGTTTGAGGATAAAGCTCAATGGGTGTTAAATATCTGAGAAAAATGTATAATGAGAAGAAATAAAAGGCTATGTCAGCAGTATAGTAACTAATAGAATTTTATAAAATAAAATAAAACTCTAGTCAAATGAGATTTACGGTTATCATACATGGTAGTAAGAAAATGCCCATTATTCATGCACAAGGAGGTTTGCCACTTAAGCATATAAGCAAAGAATTGGCAGCTGTGAGATTTCAGGTGAGTTCAATTAAGAAAATGAAGCTGATGACAAAAACAACATAGAAAGAGTTGTTGAATATGTTATCTTGAAGGAAACCAACCACAACTATGTAGATGATATAGTGAACAGTGAATTTGAGATGAAATTTAGCTGAGAGTTAAGGAAATAAGAATATTTAGTAGTTCTTCAAACTTCCTGCCTACTGACTTAGAGTCACCTTTTGTTAGCAGGTGAAGCTCTTAGATAAAAGGCGGGGGGCAGGGCGGGGGGCAGGGCGGGGGGCAGGGCGGGGGGAACTGAAGCCCAATGTCTCCTCGCCTGGCCCTCCCGGCCAGACCTGAGCGTAAACGTGGCCGAGTCCCTGTCACACTGTCTACTCAAACGTCAGGTAAAGACGGAGGAGGGGGAGGGGTGTCACGTGCAGTTTGCTGCGTTTGCAGAGCGTAGAGATCAGTTCAGCCAAGGCGGCACGGCGAGGGGTGAGTTTGGCACTCCCGGATCTTAGAAATCATTGGCAGACGCATTATAACTTCTGGCTGTGGATGGCGCTCGTGGAAGTAGATCCTCCCCCTCGCACGCTGGGTTTTCACACATAGCTTGTCTTGTGCAGGAAGAGCCCTATGTGATGTACAGGAAGTCGGACACGCCCCTCTATGGAAATGACAGGTTTGAAGGGTATTGCCTGGACCTTTTGAAGGAATTGTCCAACATTCTGGGTTTCATTTATGACATCAAACTCGTCCCCGACGGCAAATACGGAGCCCAGAACGAGAAAGGAGAGTGGAACGGGATGGTTAAAGAGCTCATCGATCACGTAAGCAAATGCGCATCTCTTACGGGTGAGGTCACGTGTCCAAAATCACGCACACTGAGCAGGAAAAGGAGAGAGAAAATGGTGGAGTCAGTCAGAAGAACTATTTCACTTTCCACATCATAAAATTGGTTTTTAAAGGAGAAAACAGCCTGGAAATGGTGTCTGCTTACTTGGAGGGCACGTGAGATTACACATTGAAGGTAAAAATGTATGGGGCCACCCCATACAGGAGAATGAAGCTGAGGGATCCTCAAGCAAAGCGCCCTCGCGCTTGCGGCTCAGAGCGCAGCTTTACCTCATCGGCTCAGCCCGGGGCCGGCCGCTCGTCCACGCCCTTCTCAGGCTTCCATACAAGAGGCCACTCTGCCGCTTTCTCACTCCCTTCCTTCCAGAACATGTGTGTGTCTGGGTCTGCCTGCCTGTCTTTCATCCCCTCTGGGTTCTATCTCCTAAAAAACACACATTCACAAACTCAGCCTTTGTCCCAATAGAGCCCGTTGTCACGGGAGCCTCCTGGGTGGGAACATGGGCTAAGGGGCAGGAGGCCCCGGGGACAGGCCCAGCGTCTGCCGGGAAGGCAGGCGCCTGGACCGTGGCTTTGTGCTTGCTCCTGCAGAAGGCGGACCTGGCGGTGGCCCCCCTGACCATCACGTACGTGCGGGAGATGGCCATCGACTTCTCCAAGCCCTTCATGACGCTGGGCATCAGCATCCTCTACCGGAAGCCCAACGGCACCCACCCGGGCGTCTTCTCCTTCCTCAGCCCCCTGTCCCCAGATGTCTGGGTGTGCGTGCTCCTGGCCTGCCTGGGGGTCAGCTGCGTGCTCTTCGTGATTGCGAGGTGAGCGCGGGGCGCAGGCACGGGCGGCCTGGGTGCTTAGGAGGTGGGCGTGGGCCCAGGGCTTGAGACTGGCACTTGCGTGGCCTGGCGCATGGCCGGTGCACCTCCTCAAGGCCCCTCTGTGAGTGGACACCTTCTAGCTCTTTATAAAGGCGTTTTTAAAAGTCAGTAAGAAAATAATGTTACGCAAATTTTCTCAGTATTTCAAGCAAGATAGAATGGTGATTTATGCATTTCCCTGGAGTTACGCTGCAGCCGAAGCAGCAGCTCCGCTAATAAATCTAAAGTGTTCCAACAGGAAGAGCACAATGATGCCCAGGTGCTAGGGCCTTGGAATATTCCATTCAACAAAGGAAAGAAAAAAAAAAGGCTAGGAATTATTGTAGCAAATAGGGGTCGCGAGAAACAAACAAGCTGTGAAATTCTCAGGAATAAAGAAGAGTACTTTAAAATGTTTGTAAAATTTATTTTTAACAACATCAGAGCGTTGAGGGAATTCTAGGAATAATGGTGAAAGGAAACACAGCTTGCATTCGGGGTCCGGAGGCATGGGATGTTCCCACAGCCTCTGTTGGACCCGCGCAGGTTCCCTTCCTGAGGGGACTCTGTACTTGGCCACTCTGCTCCACACGCTTCTTCAAAGGGTTTCCTACCTTTCCGTAGACTATATTTTCTAAATACCTGAGATGCTGAATTTAAGGCAGCCATTTTATCTTTCTGCTGACTTTGACATTCGATATCCTTAGATAAACCATGCAAAAAATAATCATTGCTTTTTTATGTCCCCTACTCATTTCAGTCTTTTTTTTAGCTTTCAGCGGAACTCAGTGAGCTTTGTCCCTAATCAATTTTTGTTTTCCCTCCAGGAATGTCTAAGAGAAATGTTTCTTCATGCTTGCTCCATATCATTGCTCACTGTCTGGGTTTGACTAACGCCAGGCAACTTTCTCCCTGGTGTGATTAGAGAGAAAGGTTAGAATAATAACCCCAGCTGGAAAGGCGGACGCAGTCGAACAAACGAAATGCATGCTCCCACACGCGTGTGTGTGCGCATTCAGTCTGAAGTGGATTTCTTCTCCACACCGATTACAGCGCCACCCGACCCCAGACCATTTTCCAAATTTCAGCCACATATTATACTCCACTTCAATAGTGACCAGAGCTTGCTTTCCATATGCCTTTATCTCAGAATGTAACATTTCGACAACGTGTGCAGTACTGACACGGTTGGAGGGTTAGGAGCGTGGTTCTCACCTAGGAGACACTTTGTCTCCCAGGGAAACGCCTGACCACGTCCTGGAAACGCTTTCTGGTGGCCACCGCTGAGGACGAAGGGGGCTCGGGGATCTCGTGGGGGAGGTGGTCCAGGGAGGCTGTCTAACGCCCGCAGCGCTCGGACGGAGCCCCACAACACGGTTCACCCCCCGGTGTCGACCGCACCGGGGCCGAGAGACCGCGCTACCCGTAACGGAAGATGTCGTTCTGAATGTCGAATTTCAAACGGCACGTCGCTCACCGTTGCAGGTGCACTTCTCGTTATTGGCCCCTAAATGAAACCAGTGCAACCCTGAAAGGGCCACTTAACAACTGACGACACTAAGGTGACAGACCTCCATCAGTGACTAGGCATCTGGGCTGGCTCTTGCTCCACGTCTCTGCTCTGGGCCCCACACCTGGGGGCAGGGGGGCGTGGGGGACAGTTAGCCGTACACCGAGGGCCCCCGGGAGGCGAGCAGCTCGCCCGGTGCTCTGCTCCGGCCGGGCGGGCACAGAGCACTGACGAGGGGCTGGAGCCCCACTGGTGGTCCCATGGCCGGTCACAGTCCGTGGGGACAGGCCGTCAGCGGCATCCACGGTTCTCAAGCACAGAGGGTCACTCGGTCCCCACGGTGCCTTTAAGTTGTCTGAGGTTTGTCACCAGAAGGTGTCAAAACGGTGTAACATCTAGTAGTCTTCCCACCTGGTTCTGTCTGCATCTCTGTGAGTCCCTGGAATACCCACCGTGTGGGCTGCATTCAGTCGCTGTTAGGACAGCAGCTCCCACACACCGTCCTTGCGACAGCTCAGCCCCCATGCACCATGACACACCAGCGCTCCTTCCCCACCTCCTTCCTGTCACCTCTCGTCACCTCTCCTCCCCAGGTCTCAGGGGGGCAGGGGACAGCGGGGAGAGACAGACGCCGCCCCGCCCTGGCGTCCACTCCCAGCTGCATCCACCTGCCCCTCCCGCCTGAGGCCCCTCCCGCCTCACCCCAGGCAGCTTCGGAGGTGATGCCAGTCGCCCTGACCTTCCGCCAGGTCACAGCCGGATGCCCTGAACTCGGCGGCTCCGTGTGGCCAGATCAGGTGTAAAATGGCTCATGACCAGCTTCATGGTTTGCGAAGTTGATGTCGTCGAGGTGGAGAGATTACCTTAGAATCACCTTTCTCTCTAGAGAGGCTTTGACTTCGTGTTTGGAGGTTTATATCCTGTTACGTCCTTTTAAAGAGGAAAACTAAGCCTGCCCATGCGTGTAGGCCAGCGCGCTCACGAGACAGATGCCTAAAATTCACTTGCTGCTGGACTGAGTTGAATTTGTGATGTTGGATGTTCAACATCCGTGGCACAAACTAAACAAAACTGTATGAACATTTCAGTTGCTCTGGGCTTGTCACAGGCGCATACATCAGTGTTTTTGTTCTGTGGTGGATATCTTTTCATACTATCTTTTGAAAAATATTTAAGGCCAGAAATGATGTCTATTGTGAACACAATTTAAATAAGACTAAAAATCCAGAATAACGTCCACTTGTATTTTATAACATATGTTTGTCTCCTTTAAAAAACACAGTTTGTAAGTTAATACATGGCAAAACAAACAAGAAAACCTTTGACTGGAACCCTAAGGCTATAGCACAAGCCCAGCAGTTATGTCAGAACTTCAGAAGAGCGTTTTCGCCTCTAAGAGGATCGAGTAGCACCTTGCTGTCCTCGCTGCTGCCCGATTTCTGCTCTCGGCCGTCGAAGGTCCCGCCGTGTGGTCACTGTTTTGTAGCTTCCATCCTCACGGAAGCCTGGCACCTGTGACCCCACACCCAACATGAGCCTTTACATCTCAGCACAAAGTGACCCTTTCAGAGGCAAGTTTGACAGATTCTAAGCACACGTGTCCCTTTCTCTGCGGTTTTACCAAAGGCCAGTGCCAGCAGGGCTGGCGGCATCGAAATGCTGTCTGCGAAGGTCGCGCATGAACCTTTCCCCCCAACTTCCCATTGCTGCCAGTCTCCCGCAGAGTCAGGAGTTTCAGGCTGAAACGCCTGCCTCCAGGCAGCAGGGAGGCGTGTTGCAAAGGAAAAGCCATGTCTCAAAGGACAGCATCGTGTTGTCATTTAAAACTCCTCAGCCCACGCGTCCCGGAGCCGCTCGGAATCCTGGGGGGAAAGAACCGCAGTCTCTGCCCGTGGGTGGGATCTCATTGCTGTTTAGATGGCTGCCCGATGGGCCTTTGAAAATTAGATAAATTGTTAACTTATTAAAACACTTCCCAGTACGAAATACTGAAACAAGGCCAGGCTCCAAGTGGCATTCAGGGAGCGTGGCAGGGAGCCCGCTGAGCCGCGCTTCTGTGGGGACAGGCGTGAGAACGCCGCGCGAGGGGCGGCCAGGTCCTGCCGTCTGTTCAGGAAAACTGCGCCTCTTGAACACATAAGCCTCCTAATTGGTTGCAATTAGTATTTTTAAATTATTGCACAAGGAGCAACGGTGGTGTTTAAGTAACGGCATCTTTGCTCTGCGTATTGCTGCCGTTAGCAGGTTCATTAGCACTGGCATTCCCGTCTTGCTCAGCCAGCTACTGTGGTGATGAGTGTTAAATTCAAAACTCAATTGCATCGCTGAAACGGTAATTAAAATATACGGGCACGGCCCTGCCTATGCCTCACGGGAGCCTCACAGGAGGGGCCGGCTGTGAGGCTCACTCGTCCCCCAAGACTTGAGGAGGAGACGCTGCGGTTTCCAGGAGGGGTGCCGGGGCTTAGCGAGTGGCTTTTCATGGAGAGCGACTACTCGGGTCCTCGTGTGGGGTTCCCTGTGCGTCTGCCTTTGCCTATTGACAGTGACCTCCCCCCCCACATCCCCACCAGCTGCTGCTTCCCTCATGGCCGGAGGGCACGCTGTGTGTCCGTCTGCCTTGGTGGGGGCGTTTCAACGCCCCTTTGTGGGGCAGGGGCGCGGTAGCACGGGGCTCAGCCGCCCGTGCTAAGAACTGCACTTTAAAGCCTTCCCATGTCGCTCTGTGGGGCATCTGCTGACGTCTCTGTGGAAAAATAAGGGCCCCCTGGCAAGATAACTCAAAATCGGCACAGAGCAGGGACGTGCTCTGGGCTGTCGCAGTCGGGCAGATGTTTAGAAAATATAGAAAAATCCAAAACCCTATTAAGTTCCCCAGATTTTTATTCTAACGCCCTCATAAATATCTGGATTCTTCCTTCACAGGTAAGGAAATGGAGGCCAGAGCTGCTACCTGACTTGTTCACGGCGGCTTCCTACACAGGGTTCACGCTCCTCCTCCAGGAGGGAGTCACGTTACAGACACACGGAGCGGGAGTTAGAGACCCGAGGCTGCCCCCCGCCGGGGGCTGCGGGCTCAGCCCTGAGGAGCCCGTGGGGGGGGGGGGGGGGGGGGGGCCTTCAACCTGTCTCTGCATTTAAGGGTTGTCATTTTTGTTTCCATAAACAGCCCCCAAACACTAACACACCCCAACCTCCAGACCCACCTTTTGTTCACCGACCTCGTCCGACCTTGCAGCCCCTTTGACGCATCCCACACTCGCTGGACCGCAGGCATCCCTTCTGCGCTTCCGTCCACAGGGGCCGCCTGGAGGCCGGTCGCCCCTCGTTCTCGTATCTCCCACACACGGGGTCTCGACGTTGGCGGCAGCGCCAGGCCGTGGGGTGAATACTCAGGGTGCGCGAACCTTCTGTCCCGCCCGTTCAGTGGTTCAGTAAAATGAAAACGGGTCACAACTGGGAAGCCTCCCGTGGACATAGATCCGAGGCCCTGGAAGTGGGAAGTCTGGTGAATTTGGTAAATGTCGCGTCTGCAGGCGCCTTCGCGACGCCCGCGGCCTGGCCTGCCGCCTGGGCTCGAGGCCTCCGCGCGGACTGCCGGGCTCCCCGCGGGGGCCGCGGTCTCTCTCTGACGCTCACGGGCTGTCTCCGTTGGCTGCCGCAGGTTCACCCCCTACGAGTGGCACAACCCACACCCGTGCACCCCCGACTCCGACGTGGTGGAGAACGACTTCACGTTGCTGAACAGCTTCTGGTTTGGAGTCGGAGCGCTCATGCAGCAAGGTACCTCCGCCGCCCCCGCGCCCGCGGTCCGTGCCGGTGAGCCCCACCGGGAGGCAGGGGCTCGGCCGAGAGCCACCCCAGGAACCGGGGAGCGTAGAGCCTGACTTCCGAGAGAGCCCTAAAAACGCAGGGACAATGATGGGGCCTCAGCGGGACTCGCCCGCCGTGTATCTGAGGTGAGACTCCGGTCAGGCCACGCACCCGCGCCGTCCTCGAGGGACGGTTTCCCTCTCGCAGGCCAGGCCTCTCCCTCCCGGCCTCACTCGGCACGTCAGAGGCCTGAACGCCGCGGAGCTGGATTCCCCTGAAAACTAAGCTGACTTTGTCCCCCTAAACCCGTCAGCCACGGCCCCTGCCCCGGACCCTGCTGGGGCTGCTCCCGGCGGCCAGGCCACTGTGCCCCAGCTCCCGCCGCTGGCGGCCGGGGCGGCCGGAAACCACAGGGGGCGGGGAATGAGCCCCAGTCCCAGAAGCACAACGCATTTTACACATTTCGGTAGCGGGGGTGGGGGAGGGGCTTTTGGTTTTGTGGAGCAGGGAGGAGAGAACTGTGCTAAGCTTTGGAGGAAATCCAGCTGTTTCATAGATTTCCCTCAGCTTTGACGCCAGGCGTCCAGTCTACAAAGTCCTCCCCAGGTTAAACGCATTCACCTAGGAATCTCGTAAGTCACAGATGCGGCTCTGGATGCGACACCTGCTGACGGAGCAATAAGCGGCGACGGGAATGAGCGAAGGACACTCCCGGGGAGGGTGCTAACCGCGCCGGTGCGGGGGCGAGCGGGGCGGGCAGCTGTGCGGCGCGCACGTTTGCGTCATCGGGGACGTTTGCATCATCGGGGACGTTTGCGTCATCGGGGACGTTTGCGTCGCGTGCCTGCGCAGCAGAAGGGAGGGCGAGCTCCTCCGCGGCGGAGACGCCGAGTCGTCTCGCCGCGCCGCAGGGCGGACCCCAGGCGGACCCCAGGCGGACCCCAGGCGGACCCCAGGCGGACCCCAGGCGGACGCTGCCGAGCGGGTGCGGGCGCGGCCCCGGTTCCCAGAAGCCCCTCGCGCGGCGCCGGAGAGCAAGGCAGGGCTGCGGGCCCTGTCGGAAGCCCCCGGAAGCCGTTTGCTGCTTTGCCGCTGCGTCTGCATCGCAGGGCCTTGACTTTGTGGGCAGTAACTTTCAGAGCGTGAAGGGGACCCCTGTCCTCAGCCTTGCCCTCCCGAGCCATCGGATGGAGAAGCGCAGCCCGGGGCGTCCCAGAGCGCATGCAGGGCTGTGACCGCCCCGTCGGACGGCGCATCCCCCCTGAAACTTATCTTTCCTCTTCCACCTGTTTGGAGTTTATGGCCGCCCGCCGGTGGCCAATACCGTGGGTCCCCAAGCAGACTCTGCTTGTTCTGCACGAAGCAAAAGGCGTTGCCAGGCGACGCCAACACTGCCACGTGAGACCTGCAGTGCTGGGGACCGGGGGCCGTCGTCCGTGTCCCCCCCGCAAGCCTTGGCGTCGGGTCACCGGCTCCCCTCCAAATGCACCGCCCTGCTCCCCTGCGGGCGCAGCCGCCCCTGCCCCCCATGGCGGCCCCAGCTTTGGTGTCTTGCTGAGTGGATGTGGCTCTGCGCCTTCCCACAGAGCACGGGCGAAGTCCCGTCAGAAGGGGCTGTCACGGCGCCGCAAACGGCACCGAGGGGACGCCAGCCGGCGTCGTCTCGCGTCCCAAATCCTTTCTGATGACGTCGTGCTCGGCCTTTATGGTTTTCGTGACTTTACCGTCTCAAGCTCTGAACGCAGACACGTGGTCCCTACGAGAGGGAGGCCGTTTCTAAGTATTTCCATGGACGGTCAGAGTCACGAAAGTCACAAAATGGCGTAAAAATAAGAAACCTGATGAAATGTCGAGACCTGCAATGCATGTCTCTACCAAGGGCTTAAAATGTAATCTGAGTAGTTTTTTACTAATTATTTTTTAATTTCCAAGACAATTTTATCCAAAACTGGAAATACATAGTATTGTAACTGTGGTAGATAAGAGTTTATGTTATTTTTATTATGTGTCAGTTGGGCTCCCACCTGTCCAGTTTTACTGCCCTATCATACATAGTTATACAAGTAATAACCTTAAAACCTTATCATTTTATAAATACAGCCAAATAACATAAGGATGAAGTTAGAGCAGAAAATCCATACCTATAAGCTGAGAAAATATATTAACTCTACTACCATGTCCCATGGCTATTTTATGAAATAAATGGTATTTTAATGATAACCAACTAAAGACCTAAGGTAATATCACGCTGCCGCAAGGCTGCTGGATCAATTAAGTGCAGACAGGCAGCGACCTTGGGCAGCCGACACCCACCCACAGGCTCCTAAATCCCATTAAACCACGAGATTAAAACAACAGGAACAAACTCTCACTAAATCCTCAGAGGCAGTTTAATGGAGACTATTATGAGTCTCTGTGATATCCCACACCCAACTGCAAACAACAACCAAAAAAAAAACCAAAGAAAAACAACAAGGAAGGGAATATAAGTGCAGTGAGGCCACTTTCCTCATTACAGGAGAATAAAGCACAACCCTTACTGGTAGCGCGAGGCCACTGCAGCCCCTTGTTCAGAGCCCCTGTCCTCCGATCTGCTTGCCAAGGGCCTGGGGCTGGTTCTGCGCGCCCAGCACGTGTGTGTCTGTGTGTAGATTGAACGTGAGCGCACACTCACCTATCGACGGATCCTGGGCTCCGGCGGCGTCCTCTCTCTCACTCTGTTCACCGCAGAGCCTGAAACACACAGCACTGAGAGGGCCCTTCAGATCAGGTGCCCCAGCCCCGCTGCCCCTAACCCTTTGCATTCTTAAACCTCGGGCGCTTCCAAGGGCCTCCTGGCCCCTGTCCCACCTCCAGGCGCACGGAGGAAATGCTGAGGACGGAACCGAGGGCGAGTTCCAGGCGAGCGGAAAACGCAGTGCGCGCGGGCGCTGCCGTGGGTGCCGCTCGGGCCCTTGACCCCCTGCCGGGCTCATGAGCCCCACAGCCCCATCCGGCCCGACTGACGTTCCGAGCTAGAGAATCGTTCGGGGTTTGCCACACGCCCTGTCTCCAGGGAGAATGATTCACCTACTCGAGTGTGCACCCTATTTAACCTGACCCGTGAGGCCCCGGCGTTTTGTGGGCCTTCCCTGAGGAAGATGGCAGACGTGTTCACCACTGAGAGGCTCTCACACTCTCACCTTTGACAAACCTGCACTAGCGTCTCGGAGCTGCCTTAGCCGTGCGAAGACCCGGAACACTCCGCACAGTGAGGGGTCTGCTCGGTGGCAATAAAGGGCCAGGAGTCCGGGGTTGACTTCTCACCCAAAACAAGCCAGCAAACTCAAAACGAACTAAATTAAGTCTCTAAATTGCAGGCTGGGATTATCTCAGGGTGAACAGCATCGAATATCAATAAATTACACGTTAGGCAGCGGCAGGGATTAGTGATAAAAGATCATGCACATTGTGCTTCATTTTCTTAAAAAACAAATAATGTTCCAACTTCACCTGCAGCCCAGAGAGCAAGTCCTTGCTGGGTTTGCAGTCTCGGAGTCTCTAACGCGCCTCGTCCCCGGGACGAGGCCGGTCGCGCCTGCCCTGCCCGCCAGCCCACCTAACCACGCCCGCTGCCCCGCCGCAGGGTCGGAGCTGATGCCCAGGGCCCTGTCCACCAGGATCGTCGGGGGCGTCTGGTGGTTCTTCACCCTCATCGTCATCTCGTCCTACACGGCCAACCTGGCCGCCTTCCTCACGGTGGAGCGAATGGAGTCCCCCATCGACTCGGCGGACGACCTGGCCAAGCAAACCAAGATCGAGTACGGGGCGGTCAGAGATGGGTCGACCATGACCTTCTTCAAGGTGAGACACCAACGAGGTCTCGGCGGTGGCCGCGGGCAGGGGGAGGGGCGTCTGGCCTAAACGGGTCTCCCCGCAAAACAGGAGGTGCCGGGCCATTTTCCGTAGGGTACAACGGTTCATGGCACAAAGAAGCCGCGTGCCCACGGCAGTCGGCATGAAGCCGTTTCTCCGGTCCCCCCGCCCCGTGCAACACTCAGGCCCACAGGTCAGCGTCTCAGCAGCTTCTGTGTCCTCCTTGCCGTGAGGCCAGAAGCAACAGCAAAACACCCGTAGTGTTTTCTGAGCACACTCTAACGGCCCCGGGATGAGCCGCCCATGCACACACCCCGCATACAGACCCCGTCCTCGGAGACGCCGACGGCCGCGGCGGGAGCCTCAGGCCGCGTTCTCTCTGCCCCCCATTTGGTGAATGGGGAACGGGCCCCGCGGACGCGTCCACATGGGAATTTGTGTGGCGGATTAACACCAAGGCCACCCCAGAAGGCCCCAGCCTGGCGCTGCACCTGCGCCCCGGCGAGGCCGCCCTCCAGGGGAGAGCCAGCGGGCGTCACTGGTCACTGCTCCGTGCGTCCGGCACTTGGGCCTTTCTTATGGCTCAGACTCCTGCCTGGCCCACGGGATTCAGGGCCCTTGATGTGGAGTCTCAGCCCTGTGGCTCCCGTGGGGAAGAACAGGCGTTCACAGACGCAGGGAGGTGGCCAGGGGGCAGGGCGCCTCGGAGACCCTGAGCGCAGCCTCCGCCCTGCCTGGGAAGAGAGCAAGGCCCAGCGTCTGCTCGAGTCACATGCTTGGTCTGAGACAGAGGCTGGCCAAACCCGCTTTGAAGAGGTAATTGTGGAAAAACCAGGGTGGGGAGGTGAGTGGGGAACAGCAGTTGTAACCAAAAGAAACTGTGAATACGCCTTTGTGAAGTTTCACACCCAAAGTATCAAAAACGAAGCTGTCACCGGGGGCTGAGTGGGAAAGAATTTTGAAGACGATTAATTTAGAAACGAAAAGCCAGGGCAAGTGTACATTTTCTTTGTATAACATATTAGTTCATCAAAATAGGTATCAGCAGCGATGCAGTAAATTTGGTTTTAACAATTATTAATAAAAACTTTATTTGAAGAGTGAGCTACACTGGGAGGCTTATCAGAAAGCAGAGGACAGTAAAAAGTTAGGATTTGTTTTTCGTCTATGTTAAAAAGATGACCTTTAAACATTTTTTTTTTCATTTAAAGAAATATGTCGTTGATTTAATGAATGTGAAGTGTGGTGCTTGTTTCTTCCCTGGACAAGAGTTTTAAGGACAAGTGACATTAGCTCTATGGCTCGGCGAGCTCGCGAAAGCTTGGACTGTTTGGCAGTCAGTGGTGCGAAGAGAACCAAGTTGTCCCAAGCTAGTGATTCGTCACGACACTTGTCAGAAACCAGGACAGTCGCCTGCACGGCATACGGGACAGACCGAGGCTGCCAAGGCAGAGTCGGGCACGTCTGAGGAAGCATCTGAGGTGACGTAGCTCATCCACGAGAAAGTTCTCACGTGTCAGGAAACGCGCAGGGGGAGCAGGGAAGACCTTGTGGCCTCCCACTCGGGACGACACAGGAGCGGACGCCCTTCGCGAGCGCTCCACGCGCCCCCAGGCGGCCCTCGCGGACGCGCCTCCACTCCCCTGCCCCCCGTGCACCTCGGGGCCGGGCTCCCGGCGCCCTGGGTGCCCAAGGGGGTGCTCGTACGCCACTGTCACGCGTTTTCAGAGCAGGCCCCTCCTTTCCTGGTGACCGCAGCCCTCTCGGGTCACCAGGAAACAAGGCAACACGCGTCTCAGGAAGAAAGCGCGGGTCGGCAGGACCAGGTGACCCCGGGAACTGCAGCGCGCACGTCCCCCTGACCCGGCCGCCTCTGTCCTGGGCGCTGCGCCTGCGTCACTCGCTCCACCCTTGCCCGGCCGCTGGGACGGGCACCAACGCTCCCTCCGCCGCGTGGTGTGGAAACGGGGCGTGGCTCGCCCCAGGACCTGCCAGAAATGTGCAGAACCAGTCGTGGAAGAGCCAGGGCTCAGTCAAACCTCGGAAAGTTCTAGAGGGTAGGCTCCTGGAGGGGAGAGAATCGGTCTGTTCCGCCAGCCCTGCCATTCCCAGCACCCGAAGTTACACGGCCCACGGCAGGCGCTCAGGTGATGTTTTCAGAAAATGAACAAAGACGCTGAAGAGTTCAGAGGGCGGGAGGTGGGAGGCAGGCATCCCTGCCGGCGCCCTCAGCTGTGGCCAGACCGCAGGCCGGCCTTGCCCGCAGTTCGGAGGCCGAGGCCCCAGCCCAGGGGGCCGGCGTGCGTGGGCGAGGCCTCGCCCAGGCCGCAGGCGGATTGGCCGGGGGCCCTTCTGGAGCCACAGGGCACTGGTCCCCGCTCTCGTGTCCGGAGCACCCCCCGCCCCAAGGGCCCCCTTTACTCCTGGCGCCCCTGGGAGTGAACCTTAACACGTGAACGTGGGGGCGCGCTCGACCCACAGTGGGGGCCGACGTGGAGCCCCGCGCGGCAGAGACGCGGCCGCCAGCTCCCTGGGTTCACAGGCTGCTTGCAGCCCAGCAGCCTTGCTTACCAAGAAGGATTCATTTACAAAAAAAAAGAACAAGGACCAAACCCGATTTGGCTTCCCCTCGAGGAGCCGGTGTCAGGAAGTTCAGTGGGACACATCCACACTCGGGGCTCTGCAGCTGGACTGTCCCCCGAGGGAAACCCACGTTCCCGCGTGACAGCAGCTCGTCACAAGTTGCTGGTCCTGACCTGGCCCGACGTAGACGTCCCCCACCCCAGCCCCAGCCGAGGACAACATCCTCTCCTGAGCCGCTGATGGAGTAAGAAAAGCTACATCTGCTCTGTTGGGGCCCAGACCGTCCGTCCCCACGCGAGTGCAAGGAAGCTTCTAACAAGAAGTGTTTTCTCATCTCACGCAGTGTAGTGTGTGTGTATTCCTTTGGCAGGAATTGTCTCTTCACTTTCAGGTTGGTTCCACATTGTTTTACAGCTTGAAAAGAAACAGGCAGCTACAAGGTGGAGAGGACAACAGAAATTACGGAAACCTGTGAAAAAACAAAATTGCCAATCCCTCCCAGAGGTCTCTGCGATGCTCTTAGTGAAGTTTCTCCTTGAGTAAACATGGCTGGAACATGCTCGCTAAAATTGCAATCGAAACCCCTTGCCTTTTCTGCATAGAATTCGCTCTGCTTGCAGACCACGTGCCCTCAGAGTCCAGACGGGGATATTGGATTTTCAACATGAAATAAAAACAAAATTTAGTTTTAAAAATATAGATCCAATGAGGTGCCACTCTTGCCGTGTGATTCGGGGAGGCCTTGCTCAGTCGGGGACAGGGCGGTGGCGGCGGCTTCCTCCGTGGGGCCACCTGTGTGCGGAACACCCTCGTGGATCCCCAGGGTCCCCGCTTACATGGAGAGCCAGGGATAAGCCCTAACCCCAGTCCCTGGGACCCTCACAAGGCCTCGCACGGCAGCCGAGGTTCCAGCTGATGTTGTCCTTAAAAAGAACGGCTCCGAGTTCAATGGCCACTCACTCAGTGAAGGGCACTCACACCGTGAGCTTCCCTTGAGGGCAGCAGCGCTCGGAGACAGGCCGCACATGCTCTGAGTAACGTGACCCTTTGGTCAAAGGATGTCGCCGCCCCCGGCAGCTGCAGGAAGGACGCAGTTGAAGAGGGCCGAGCATTTCAACGACGGTCCAGAGACCCGCCCTCGGAAGTCCTCTGAGCACCGGGGGGCCGCTGGGCTCTCCTTGCCACACCGTTAAGGAACCAATGGATCTTTGTGAGTCCGCGTGCTCGTCACTCAGGACTCAAAGGGACTTCATTGAGTTTCACACGCTTTATCCTGTTGTTCTCCTGGGGGGAACAAGGGTCAACAGCGCAGTATGAGCTCTGCTGGTTTCTCAGGGGCTCGGCCCCATCCCGTTTCCAAAGCCGGGCCTCCCGGTGGCAGCCGGGGCCTGAGATGCCCGCCCAGGGGCCGGCTGAGGCCCTTGATCCTCATTCGGCTCAACTTCTGGTTTTCCAGGATCTCCGGTACGACCAGGCCCCCGGCTGACGCTGTCAGGAGGGGAGGGACTTCACGACTCGAACGGCAACAGGGAGACAGTGCGCATGGGCCCGAGGGAGCGCTGCCCTGTGGGGCCGGCGGCAGGGGCCGTGCAGACCGCAGCGGCGGGGGCGGCGGCAGAGTCGCGGGAGGCACACTGGCTGCGAGGTCATCGTGGAAGAGAAGAGACACTTCTCGGGAGAACGTGCTGTGCAGCGCGTCACCACCCTCCCGGACCCACGCCAGGAGCTCACACAGACTAGGTCACGGGTCGGTCTGCAATAACTTGGGTGAAATGGGTGGAAAGCGTCCTGACAGACGTGCTTTCATGGTCTGGGGACTTGGGACCAGCTGTGGGACGCAGGGGCTGCCTAACCTTTGTAAGCTCCTTCCAGGGAGTGGTTAGGTGCGGTCATCCACCCAGACGACATTTCAGGGAAGTTCCCACGCGGCAGACGGGTGGGACGGAAGCAGTGAGGCGCGTGGGGGTGGGTTTCAGGCATTGAAGGAAGCCCGGGACGCAACACGTTTCTGGGACTCCCTGCCTGAGGGGGCGCGGGGCGCAGAAGGCTGTTGGCTCCTGTATAAAAGGTCCAGCTAATTTTACCATCAGTGTCTGCACTGTGACGTCCCCGGAGGCCAAAGGTGTACTTGTTTGGGAAGAAACCCATCAGGTCAGCCAACGTCAACCTGATTCACAGCCAGGCACATCGCCAGCCACAGACCCACCTTTACCTCCAGACAGGAGGAAAACATGAAAAATGTCCTAGCAAAGGTGGCTAACCCCCACGGTGGGGGGGTTGTTTAAGGGAGCACATGCATTTTTAAAACCTTGGAGAGTCTGCAAATGTCGTAACTTTCTATCAACTCAAGATTGGAGCATAATCAGCCGCGATGGGTGCCCCCCACGCCTTGAAAGACAGGGGCCCTCGCTGCGCCGTGGCGGCCTCTCCCTTCAAAGCGGTTGTTGCGCATTAAGCCATATTTTAAACACTGTAGGAATGATCATTTTCTAATGAAATGATCTATGTGCTCCTGTATTAAGAGGAAGTGGTTGTTTTTAAGGCCACTATTCCCCTCCAATAGATCTATTTCACAAGTTTGGATTTCTACATAGCTGATTTCCACGTCTTTGGTTAATACTCAGGTTTTCCTAAATCAGAAGATTTTAAAGTAAAAGTATATTGAAGATTTTTAAATGTAATTGTTTTTGGTATTTTATTTGTTCAATGTGGACATACTTACCACATCTATAAGATAACTTTTAACAAGATTAACAAAGGTCAAATATCAATAATTTCCCCAGGGTGTGTGTGTATGTGTAGGATTAAAGAGAAATGTAAAAATAAATATATAAACATGGAGAGACACACACACACACACACACACACACACACACACACACAGTCTTCCGAGGTACAGGTCTGCAGTAGAATTGTGCAGTTATTCATTCTGTTGCACAACAGGGTTATACATTTTCAATGTGCAAGCCTCATACCCTGGCTGAACAAATAATGCTATAAAGAACACGTGTCTGGGTAAAAAGGAAATGCCAGATGGACAGATCCATGACCCAGAGCTCCCGTCGAATGTGAGATCACGTCCACTCCACAACTTCCTGACCTTACCTGTTGCACCTGAACCCCCGCAGCTGAAAACAACGGGGCCATGTGCCATAAAAACCACTGTTAAGTATAAACATATAAACAGCAGCCATATTTTCCTCTTGGTCTCTGCTGCTGAACCTCCTAAAACACACTCTGATTTTTTTGTCCAAACGAGCGTGAGCTGCCTGACCCCGGGTCCCCCTTTCTCGCGCGTCACGGGTGACCACAAGAGCCGCGGCAGCTCCTGGGGCAGCGGGAGGCGCCACCACTTCTCGCTGCAGCTGGTGCGCAGGAAACGTGCCCTCCCGCCGGCACGTGAGCCGCGCCCTGAGTTGGATGTCCTGTGTCTCGGGGCGCGTGGTCAATTCCCTCTTGGGACCAGACCCCTCGCTGCCCTGTTTCTTCATGGTGTGGAGGTTCCTCGTCTGCAGAGAAGAAATTATAGTGGCATCTTTCTCAGGGGATCCCTGTGAAGAGTCAATGAATTAATATATGCAAAGTGTTCGGACCCGTGCTTGGCACTCAGTAACCTCGGCCTGCGCTGCTGCTATCGCTGCTGTCAGTCCGCAGAGGCGTCCAAGTGCCTGCGGGCGTGGGGAGTCGCCTCCCAGGGAGTGCGGGTCCGGCCTGCATTGCTGGGGAAGAGACAGACGCGATGGTCATCCAGTGGCACGTTCTCGTAACAGGTTTTAGATGAAACATTGCTCACCCTCTGCCAGCCACGCTCGCCAGCATCAGCACAGACACATAATCAAGTTTAAACAGACAAAATGAATTCATCTCAACCTGGTGCCCTTCCAGGATTTAAAAATAAAGCTGATGATTTCAGATTTAATAAATGAGGCCTTTTCAGCTTCAGTGACTTTGGCCAAGAAGCTCACTGTACTTGACAAATATTCTAATTAACCTTTGACCCATACGCAGTAAAACCAGCGGGTTTGTCATTGTTTCCATTGTGGAATCCGCATCGTTCAGAGCAGTTTGCTTGGATTTTTCATATTTATGGCAATTTCCCATGAAATACGCTCCTATTTTTAAGGATTGCTAAATTTTGCATTAAAAATGAAAAATCTATTAAGAAATAAATCTAATTAAACTCCTCCAAAATAGTCCTTTTTGACATAACAAAAAGTAAACATTGCAGAGCAAGGCGGGGAAGTGGGCGGAACTCGACAAGGGGTGGGGGGGGGGCGAAGGGATGCCAGTCCTGCCAGGCTCCCTCCCTCCCCGCGCGCCCTCGGCTCCGAGGGGACCCGGTCGCCCACGACGTTCTCGCGGGTTTCAGTGGCATGAAACCCCCGTCCTCGGGGCCTGCGCCGCCTACAGGTGCCCCCAACAGTGGGAAACCGGTCCCTTGGCCGCCTGCTGAGTCCCCCCGGGCCCCCCCTTCCCAGCCCCGCGCACTAAGCTGTCGGCCTCTCAAACGCTCTTCGGTCCGGTCCGGGCGAGGGACGCCCGCCCCGCTCCGCGCCTCCGACCTGCAGGCGCCTCCCTCTGGGGCCGGAGCTCGCGGGCCCGATGACGACAGAATGGCTTCCGTAGGCGCCGAAACCTGTCCGGTGCTGCCCAGCGCATCGCTGTCTGTCTCACGAGGCCTTTCTCGGGGGCTCTCCGAGTGCCTCGCAAGCCAACACAGAGCCACCGGCCCCCTCCGAACTCACGGAGCCGAGGCATTAGCCCAGGCCCCTGTGCAGGAGGGACCCGAGTGAGCCCCGGGGCGGCTGGGCGCGACCGCCACTAGAGACCTGACCCCGCAGCTACTCCCTCTACTGACGGGACCCCAGATCGCGCCCCGGGCCTGTCTGCCGACCTGGGAGGACACCCTGTGCCGCGGCGGAGCTGGCCGAGCCCGAGGGTGCGAGCTGGGCGGCGCGGGCCGTCATGCGCCCCAGCCCCTCGTCTCCCCAGCGACTGGAGGGGCGTCCACAGAAATGGAGACAAAGTAGAAGAAAAACTGGAACAGGACGAAGTTATGGAGCAAACTGTGGATGGTCTAATCACAGATCCCTCGTCTGAAGACTAGAAACTTCGTCTCTGAGCAATAGGGAACCTTAGACCCTGCGTTTGAAGAAAGAAGGGCGATAGATAGTGTAGAATACAGGTGCACATATGTCAGCTATGCGGTTTCATAGCAAATATATCCGAAAAGTGAAGAACAAGGAAAAAGACGCATAGAACACGCTGAAATAAAACATTCGGTCTTCACTACCTAAAAGTGGAAATTGAATATCTATTTTATATATATAATAATATATATAAGTACCTTTTGAAGAGTCTTCCGATCTGAATTTTAATAGAAAAGGGCATTTGTAGTCTCAGTTCCCCAGGAGCAGAAGCAGAGGACGCAGGTGATTCACCCCGGGGCGTTCCCAGCGCAGGCGGGTCAGGCCCGGGACTTAGCGACTTGGCCACCCCTGAAGGGACAAGGGTCGGGGTGAAAGGAGAGGGATCCCCGGAGACCCGCCCTGGGGCACCGGGGGCCGAGGACTCGCTCCGAGCGCCCGCAGCCCGTCAGGCTGGTGCCCTCGGGGCCGCTGCGTCCTCCTTCCACGACGGAATCCCCGCCAGGCCGGGTCTCCATCCCCCGCAGCCCCCTCGGCGCCTCCAGGGCCTCCCTGTAGCCAAGGGGGCTCTTCCGCGCCCGCCCGCCATCCCAGGGCCGCGCCCGCGGGCGTCCGCCTGGAGACAGGGCCCTGGCCCGAAGCCGGGAGAGGCCCTGGGGCGGGCGCAGCGGGGGCGCGTGTCTCAGCCGCCCCCCACACCCCCTCTGCCCGCAGAAGTCCCGGATCTCCACCTACGAGAAGATGTGGGCCTTCATGAGCAGCCGGCAGCGCACGGCCCTGGTGCGCACCAGCGAGGAGGGCGTGCGGCGCGCGCTGGCCGCCGACTACGCGCTGCTCATGGAGTCCACCAGCATCGAGTACGTGACGCAGCGCAACTGCGACCTCACCCAGATCGGGGGCCTCATCGACTCCAAGGGCTACGGCGTGGGGACGCCCATAGGTAAGGGGCCCGGGGGCACGGTCGCCGCGGAGCGGGGGAGGGGCCGGCCCGGCCCGCGCCACACTGCGGGGCCCCGGGCCGTGGGTGGGCGGACGCCCGCGGGAAAGGCCCGGGTAGATCAGAGGCGTGGTTTGGATTTGCAGTTCCCAGATTTTTCGCCTAACCAGCTCAGAATTCACCGTTTTTCACAAGGCATCTGTTTGAGTCGTTAGATTTTATTATGTCACCGCAAGTATTTTTTTTAAATACCTTTTAATTCATTTTCTTGATATTACTTTCTTCGGTACCAATACGTGCCTGTGTATTTTTCTACCTTAAATTATATTAAAATATAACAAAATTAATTAGGCAAATAGATGGCAAAAGGTGAAGGGCTGGGTTTCCATGTCCAGCGATGTAAAAACAAGGAGGTCCGAGGGCGGGTTATTTGTTGCGCGGGCAGCGTGCCAGGTTCGACCGCGGAAAACGACCTAAACCCCCGGGGGGCCCTGGTCCTAGAGGTCGTACCCCTTCCCCCGCCCCCCCCCCCGCCCCCGGGCCGCCAGGGCTGCGGTGGAGCCCCGCTCCCGCTCAGGGGCAGCTCCGGACCCTCTCCCTGGAGAGACGCTCGCTGCGGGCGGGCCGGGCGCTGGCAGCGGGCTCCTCCCTCACGGGTCGCGGCCCGTCGGGGACACGCGTCCCAGGGGGAGGAGCCGGGCCGTCCTAACCCCTGGGCCCGGCCGGTCCGCGGACGTCGGAGTCACGGGCGGGTCCGATGAGGAACGACCCGGGGTAGACCCGGTGCCTGTGTCCCTGTTGTTATTTTTGTTGTTTGAAAAGAAGTGTTGCGTTCGGCATCGGCCCGGGATCGCAACTCCGAGGCCGACAGAGACCAGGCAGGTGTCGCCCCTGGGCGGAGCTCGTGGGCCGGGGAGGCCACCGGGAACAGCCGCGACCGTGAGAAGGGGCGGCCGCGCGGCTCCCCAGGGGGGCGCCTGCCTTTCCGGCCTCAGCCGCGCACGTGGGGGCCGCAGCGCCAGTGTGTTAGCCCACGTTTCAAGGAAAAAAACCCCAACAGATCTTAGGGGAACTGTCCTGATATTTTAATTTAGCAACAAGTTCATTTAAAGAAAAAGACTATGTGTCCCATATTCAGCTTTTGATCAAGGCTAACTTAATTAACCAGACACGGGTCGACTCTCCTCGCTCCTACCGCGAGTTCCCACCCGGTGCGGCCGCCTGCTCCCGCTCAGCCGCGAAAAACGCGGGCGGGGCGAGGTAGCCCGATTGTCGCTGCTGCCCCGCGGGCGGCCTCCAACGGGCCTGGGCAGACGGCTGGGCCGGGGACACTGTAGCTATTTTCTGACGCTTTTGTTTCCAGTGCCTTTTCCTGGTGAAAATACCAAAACTGTGGGTGAAGTGTGTGTCCCCCCCCCCCCCCGGGGGTAAGTGCCCCGGTAATTAAGTCACGTGTCTGCAGGGCACGGTGGGCTCATCAGACCCGCAGTAAAAGGACACGAAGTCTCCTTTTAATTTGCAAAGCAATGTCCTATCTCCCTGATGATGATTTGTCCCCTCGTTGTAGACGACAGAGGGGGAACGGGGGCCGGGAGAGCGGACAGGCGCTCTCTCCTCAAGCCCCCTCACTGCGCACTTTGTCGGCTGGGCCTGCGCCAGACCGGCCTCTGGGGCGGGCGCCGGTGCCTGAGCCTCTCTGGAACCAAGACGGCTCTGGGGCTGGCGGCCGGGCGCCCCGCACCTGCCGAGGGGCGGCTGCCCTTGCTCCGCTGAACTACCGCAGACTCGATCGTGAAGCAGGACGTGTGTGCTCGCTCCTCCACCCCGAACCCCTCCCCAACCGCCTGCCCCACCCCCTCGGCCCCCGCCATGGCGCGCCGGGTACGAATGATAGAGAACAGCCACGTGTACCCCTCCTTCCGAGAGTGTTCGCCCTTTAATGTGAGGCTTCGAATGGGTGTTTTTTCTTCCGAACGGACCACAGCTCTGAGGCTAATTGTTATTCTGGGTGGGGGGGTGGCCAGGGGCCTCTCCCTGTGACACTCCTGAGCTTGTGCCGCACTTGGGGCGCGGCCCTGCGTGCCTGGGGGGAGGCGGCCCCCTGCGCTTCATTTAAGGTGGCAGAGAGGGACGCCAGTGTTGCCGTCCTGCCTGCGTGTGGCCGGCCTCATCCACACTTGGACACGTGTCTCAGAGCTGGAGGGTCTTCCCTCCTCAGGCGAAAGAAACGCGCTCAGGAATCTGTCCGAGTGGCCGCAAACCTGCCGAGCTTTCAACCCCAAAACAACGCTGGAGTAGCTGGGACAGATGGCAGGCCCTGGGGAGCATGCGTCCGCGGGGACCAGCTGTGGGTAAATTTGTGAACAGTTTCGTCTCGGACGAATTGACCAAGATCAGCTGCTATTCCAGACAATCTGTGTGTAACATACACATTTTTTCAAGTGATGTGTAATAAATCACATCCAGTGTCACTCAGTCCACTTAAGCAAGAACAGCAGAAATTGAAGTCGAAATAGATTCGGGTGTGAAAGAATCTGTCGCTGCCTCTGGTGCAGCCTGAGCCCACAAAGGCTCCAGGCCCGTCCAGATGGTCCGAGGTCGGCAGAGTCAGCCGGTCACAACGCAGAAGGGAGGACTCCGCTTCTGAAAGACCCTCAGTGCAGGAGCTCTGGAAACGTGTCTTCCGAGAGATCGAAAATGAGACTTCAAGAGATCGAGAGCAGGCGAGGCTTAAACAGGTTCCCAGGAGACTGGACATGACCGTCCTTAGAGGCAACTTTAAACAGAGCCCCGAGGCCCCTGTCGGAAGAAGCGGTCACCCTCCGCTCTTCAATGCGCTCACGCTCTGGGTGCCAACGCCGACCGCTGTTCTGCGGCGGTCAAGCCAGCGGTCAGCATCTCCTAATTTGGCTTCCAAGTGCCGAATTTTGGTTTTCGCACCAAAAATCCATACTTCTACTTGGCAAGCCACAACCTAATTACAAAACATTTTGCTCTTCTTTTGAGCTTGACTGTGAGCACTGGCGATGACTTTGGGAAGTCCTGGGTAAAAAAGAAAAACAAAAAGCAGTAACGAATGCAAAAACGTTAAAACCCTCTGCTTTTCCCACTTAAACATTGCGTAGAATGCCGGGTGTGTGTGCGGATCCTGGCATGGCGCACACAGGGTGCAAAGAGCACTAGAGGAAAGGAGAGAGTTGAGTTAACCTCTTGACTCGGCCGGTTGGCACGGCTTTCACTCGCTAGATTCGTTCAGTTTTAAACCTCGTGGACTGGGCTGCGGGAGCCCTAAGGTCTCTTCTGGCTCTAAGATGCTATGTTTTTCTAGTTCCTTTTCTTTTCTTTTTTTTTTTTTTTTTTTTTTTTTTGCATTTTTCTGTTTCTACCAAGAAGAACTTTAAAGTTTGCTAATGAAAAGAGGGATATTCATACTGAGTAGAAGAAATAGGAACAAAAATTCTTAGGGCCAGTGTTCCAAACAACTGAGTTTTTTAGGACTTTTGAATTAATGAAAACCTACTCTTCATAGTATATTAATTAATAGATGCTTTAGTCCGTATGGACTCATTGCTCTAACCAACATCTGCAGTTTTTCAGTCGCTCACTCAGTCAGTGTTTATTCCTTGACCCTGTTGTGGTCCCACATGGGCTGAGAGTCTGCTCGGTGCCCTCAGCCTGCGACCTGAGCCCCTTCGATTTGGGGGTCCCACTGTCCTGGGGGATGTGAGCTCTCATCGTCCTGCTGCACAGCTGGGGAGAGGGCCACGTGGGGGGGCCCGTGAGCCGGGGCGGGGCTCCCCAAGGCCAGGACGGGCATGCGCACCCTGGACTGCGAGAGAGGCCGGGTGCCTCGGCTGCTCCCCAGGAGGGGGCGGAGGCGACCCCGCTCTTCCCTGGCTAGGTGGCCACAACATCAGACAACCCACAGCCTGGGAAGAGCAGGGGGGTTTTTTTAATTTATTTCTTTATTGTTGTTCAAGTGCAGTTGTCTCCATTTTCCCACCATCACTTTCCCCCCCCCCCCCCACCTCCCTCAATCCTACCCCACTTTGGCGTTGTCCCTGGGCCCTTTGTACACATTCCTTAACTTGCCCCTTCCCCTTCTTTTCCCTGTTACCCCCCCCCCTCCCTGCTTCCCTCTAATTACTGTTCGTTTGTTTTTTCTTTTAATGTTGCTGGTTATATTTTTCTTTCTTGTTTGTTTTGTTGATTAGGTTCCACTTATAGGTGACATCATATGGTGTTTGTCTTTCACTGCCTGGCTTATTCCACTTAGCATAATGCTCTCCAGTTCCATCCACGCTGTCTTGAAGGGAAGGACTTCCTTCTGTTGCGTCGTATTCCATTGGGTGAATGTACCACAGTTTTTTGATCCACTCATTTACTCTTGGGCACTTAGGCTGCTTCCAGCACTTGGCTATTGTAAATTGTGCTGCTATAAACATTGGGGTGCATTAGTTCTTTTGAATTGGTATTTCAGGATTCTTAGGGTAATCCCAGCAGTGAAATTGCTGGGTCAAAAGGCTGTTCCATTTTTAGCTTTTTGAGGAAATTCCAAACTGTTTTCCACAGTGGCTGTACCAGCTTGCATTCCCACCAACAATGTACTAGGGTTCCCTTTTCTCCACAACTTTGCCAGCACTTATTATTTGTTGATTTGCTTACGATGGCCATTCGGACCGTTGTGATGTGGTATCTCATTGTGGTTTTAATTTGCATTTCTCTGATGGGTAGTGATGCTGAGCATCCTTTCGTATGTGTCTGGGCCCTCTGTGTGTCCTCCTTGGAGAGGTGTCTGTTCAGGTCCTTTGCCCATTTTTTAATTGGATTGTTTTCTTCCTGGAGTGCAGTCCTGTGAGTTCTTTATATATATTGGAGATCAAACCCTTGACCAAGGTATCATTGGCAAATATATTTTCCTATACGGTCGGTTTTCTTTGGAAAGAGCAGAATTTAAGCGACAAAACCTCCTCATGTGGGAAAAGATTCGTGAAAACTCCCCAGAGCAAGGATCTGTCCCAGAAGTCCCAGCTCAGCTCTCCCTCATCTAAAAGGGACAGACAGTTGGATGAGAACCATCGCAGCCTGTCAGCACCCTGCCCCCCGGGGGGCCGTCACGCCCTCCCGGCACCCTCTCAGCCTGCAGGTGGGGCTTCCTCTAGGGTGGCCTCCTCCCTCGCGCCTCCTTCAGCCTTGCGGTGACCTTGCTTGCCCCCAGGCTCGCCCTACCGGGACAAGATCACCATCGCCATCCTGCAGCTGCAGGAGGAGGGGAAGCTGCACATGATGAAGGAGAAGTGGTGGCAGGGCCGCGGGTGCCCGGAGGAGGGCGGCACGGAGGCCAGCGCCCTGGGTGTGGAGAGCATCGGCGGCATCTTCATCGTCCTGGCCGCTGGGCTGGTCCTCTCTGTGTTCGTAGCCATCGGGGAGTTTATATACAAGTCGCGGAAGAGCGGCGACGTTGGGCAGGTGAGTGTGTCTCTCCAGGACTGGGTGGGAGTCAGTCTGCAGTGTCTGTGCTGAGTCCAGGGACGTGTCACGGTGCCGGCCCGTTTTTGTGACGGGCTATTGAACTAGATGCCTGGAGGAGCCACTGCCGAGTTGGAACCAAGAGCTGCTGGACACTCTCCAGAGCTGGCAGGCGTTTGGGCCCGTTCGCTTCCTTCCTGGCAAGGAGACGGAGCCGCGCCTTGAACGTGAAGCCCGGCTGCGCTCCCCAGAGTCACAGGCAGGAATCCACACTCAGTTCATGTCTTCCCATTATTTGCTTTTCAGGTAGAAACCCTAGATAGAGCAAAGAAGAAATAAATCCAAAGTTGGAAAAGATACCAGAGGTCTTGGAGGGAAATATTGTCGCCCCTGAAGTGTGGGCGCTGAGCCCGCGCACTAGGGCAGAGCGAGCTGTGTAGAGACATCAGAGTAGCATCCCCAAGCTAAGCTGTCACCCTGTCAGCGGGACACGGTAGGAGACAGCTCACCAGCTTTGTGCCAGAAATACGATAAACCACCCCAAATGACAATAGAACATGTTAGAAACTGGGTTTCCAGGTTGTATATAGGATTATGGTTGATCTCTATGGTCAACAACTTTCGCCTATTATTTTTATTTTTGATGGAAATTGGAGCTTAGTCTCTTCCAAATAAGACGGTTGTGAAGAAAGTTCATTCCTTCATAAGTGTGCTGAGGTAAACAAAATACAAATGCACGGCTGTCGCGTGAGGCCACCCATTAAATTTAAAGATATTGCTGGAATTTCAAGATATGAGCTCTGAATAGCAGGGCTGGTTTAATGCTCAGTTGTCACGGTCTTAAAATTCTTAGTAGTTTTTGAATGAGGGCTCCACATCCTCATTTCCCACTGGGCCCGGCCAATGATGTGGCCACTGTCGACGGCCAGTCTCACGCTCTATCTAGCCTCACCTCCTTGGCGTGGAAGCTCCCGCTGAGCCCCAAAGCCAGCGCGATCGACCGTGACCTGGCTTCATCGTGAAAACGCTCCCTGAGTCACAAGGCGGTTGTGAGGGTATGAAGCTCCCCTTCCCCAGAGCATGTTAGAGAAACTGTCTTTCATTAGAAGGGAGACTGATCTACTTTGTTTGAACTTTCAATTCGGTCTTGAGGTGTCTTGTTTTATGCAACTAATTTTTGACAGATAAAAGCTTGTAAATGTTCTGCTTTAATGTGCTTCTCATAATTGCCAGCTTCATTTGATCTGAATTTTCATTTCAACACTCATTTTTGCATCTGGTTTATTCATTTTTCTGTATTCCTTTTCCCATTTCCTTTGCATGCAAGGCTTCTTGTTGCTCTCACGGACTGCAGTGTAAGCAAACCCACCCAACCAGCTCCCCTTCTGGGACCGCTTTGTCCACAGACATAGAATGTGGCAAATTAATTCGAGAGGAGAAGGCGGTTCGGACACAGTCCTCGTTCACACTGTCTAATCAGTTTAAAAAAAAGGGGGGGGGGGGGTTCCCAGTAGAAACTGCCTCTTGTAATTGGTGCTCCAATGCGCTCTGTGCCTGTGAGGCGTGAACAGCCGCACAGTCCGCGGCCCCGCTAGGACCGCCCGTCCCCGGGCGGCGGGAAGCGGATGGGACCCCGGGGCGCGCAGCCTCCCAGACGCGCGTTGACAGAACCTGCTGGGCCGTCAGCTTCCCTCAGCTCTGTCTTCATGCGTTAAAAATAAGCACCTGTTTCCTCATGAGGAAAACCGTAGACCCAGACTTTCAGCGGTGCAAACCGTGACGACAAGAGGCTGCTAGTTCGGGGAATGTGTCCTCTCCGCGAACCTTCTTTCTCGTTGCCTCCTTCCGGCCGCAGACGCTCTGTCAAGCCACCCGTTTTCGTACAACCCGCAGCCCTGCCTTCTCATTGTGGCTCCCAAACGATGTGAATTTTTCCTTCAAATCCGTCTCACTATTTAAAAATGGATTATGTAGACAAAGACTCTGAGATGTCTTCGATTTTAACGATTCAAAAATGGGCTCCAGAAAACGGAGCCGAAGGGAAACGTCTGGTGTCGCACAGGGCGGCCCGCGCGCGCGCCCGGCCCGGAGACCCCGCCTCTCGGCTGCGCGCGCGGGAACCGGCGGCCGCCGGCTCTCGGGAGGCGGGGCCTCTGGTTCCTTCCCCACGGAACGTGCTCCCTCGCGAGCTTGCGCCGCGCGCGCGGCGAGGCCAAAGGCCGAGACTGGCCGCCTTCCCGCCTCGGGACAGACGTCTGTCCCGGGGAGGGTGTGTCGGTCCGCCCACGCCCGGGACGGACAGGGCCCCGGTTGTAGCCTGTTTTGAGCGTCACCGCGGCCGTGTCGGCTTCTCTGGCCGCTCGGCGCCTTAGTTCATCCCAAGCGCAGGAGGCGGCGGGCAGGGTGCGGGGGGCACAGCGGAGGGAATCCCCCCACCCGCGTCCGCGGCCGGGCTGGGCCTCGCCACCTGCACGGAGCACTCGGGGCGGGCGCGGGCAGGCGCGGGCGGGCCCTTCCTCCTCCGGGTTGGGAGCAGTCGCCCCGCGTCTCCTTAAAGGTGGGGGGGGGGCACCCTCCGACGCGAAGCGATCCCCGCACGCAGCTCTCAGGAGACATGCGCCCCCTGCAGGCCCGGGCTTCTGAGCCGCACCCCGTCTCTCACGCCACGCGCGGCGAAGGCCGGGTTGAGGGCCAGGCCCCGCAGGGGGCGTGTGAGAGGCAAGGACACGTGGATGTTTCTCTCCCTCCCTCGCTTCCCCCTGCTCTAAAAATAAATAAATAAAATAAAAATTTTGTAAAGTATTGGTTCTGTATAGAGAAATTACAAATTACAAAGTTTATAGTCTCAAAGATTATTTAATACACCAAAAAAGCTACCAAAAGAGTTCAAGGGACAAAACTTGTGTACTCGCATAGACTTTCCTTTAAAAGTGGAATAAAGAGATCAGGATAAAGAGATGATCCATCCCCCAAGTTAGTGTTCGTAAATGACCTAATTCTGATATTTACGTTACCGTGCGGTTTTCAGAAGGCCTTCGCCCACGGCATTCCCTTCAGGCCTTTCAACAGTCCCGTCTCCACTTCACTGCCAGTGAAATCGGCGGCAGAGGCAGCCGCCTGAAGACCCAGACTTCGGAAGCAGAAGAGGGCTTTCTAAGTCGGAACGAAATGAGCACTTGGGTTCCGGTTCGAGCCCAGCCGCGCGCTGAGAGACTGTGCAGCGAGCGCGCCTTCCGCAGGCCGGGTCTTGTAACGTGAAAACCGGGAGCCCCTCTCTGGGTCATACGGTTACGGACGTTTTCCGAGCAGGGCCCATCGGCAAGCTCTGCCCCAACAGGAGCTCGCGGCCAGGCAGCCCCGGAGCCACGCGCGGCTGCTCTTTTACCGCCGGCCCGGCGCGTCTCCCCGTTATCCGAGCTGCGCGGAGAACTCCAGCGAGATGGGAAAGCACCCAGCGTTTCCCACGCTCACCCCGTCACGGAAGCGCACGCCCCTGCGAGGCACCGTGAGAGACAGCGGGTCGCCGGGCAGGCCCGGGGGCCCTGGCAGCGCACGGACCCCCGCCCCGCCCGGCGCGCTGCGGCCGCGCGGCAACCCGTGGCGTGAGGGGGGGGTCATTTTCTAAACTTCTCCGGGCCTGCCCCCCCTCATTCGTAAAATGGAGACGACGTGTCGACTGATATTTGCTATGAGAGTTGAACCCTGTAGCGGCACAGAAACGCAGCCTTTCGCAAGCGCCCTGTTGGTGGCTGGGAGGTGCTCCCAGGGCACCGCGGGGCGCCGCCAGGCCTGAGCGCCGCTGGTTTGGGAAGCAGGTTTTCCTGTTCAGAGGCCCGACTGGCTCGACGACCCCTTTCCCTGACACACGTTTAGAAATCAGGGGCCCATTCCCTGCACCCAAGAGAAGGACCCAAACCGGCGACAGATCGACAGATGAGGCTTGGCAGCGGCAGCAGGAGCGTCGTCTCTGGGACTCTGACGTCACTGGTCCGTCCTCTCTGGGGCTCTGACGTCACTGGCGGGGGCGGGGCGGCCGGCGAGTCTGCTCCGCTGGCGGTCGGCACGCGCGGCCTCTGCTGTTGGCGGCGCATCCTAGAGGCAGGACGGCCACGCCAGGGCCGCGGAGATGCCAGAGGCGGCCCGGGTTCAGCGTTCAGCCTCCGGCGGACCCTTTCGAAAGGGACCCTGGGAGGAAACTGCGCGCCTGGGACAGACAGGCCATCACATTCCGTCGGCGTCTGCGCGTTGATGAGGCCCGGAGGTCGGCGCGACCCCGCGCGCCCGCGGTCAGCCGGCCCCTCCCCGCGCCGCCCCCACAGCCTCGGACTCGGGTCCCCAACCCGCTCCTTCTGCTCCCCAACCTGCCCTCGGGTGATCAGTCGTTCCCACCACGTCCGTGACCGTGGACGCCGCAGTGGCCCCAACGAGGCCAGGGCATTTTTCAGGTGAAATTTCGGAAAACAAGGCTTGAACATGAAAGAGAAATGTTCAGATTCTATTTTTACACCATTTATTCTCCGACTTTGCCTCCCTCAGAATCACCTGGGGACCATTATCTAAAATACAAGTTCTAGGCCCTCCCTGCGGAGAGGCCGCTCAGTGAGCCTGGTCCACACCGGGCATTTTAACAAAAGCCGACCGAACGCTTCCCTGAGACCCCGTCTCCTTAGAAGCTCCCACACAGGGGTTTCCAAACTCGGATCATACGCACGCACTTCCTCAAACTGTCCAGTGCGACGGCAGGGTTTTTTTTTCTTTTTCCCACTTGAATTTCCTCCCCAACAATTCTAAATGCAGCTGTTATACTTAAAAGTAGTGCGTAAGCAAGCATTTCCTTTTTAGCGAAATTAAATACAGCAGTTTAACTTAAAGTTGGGGGTGTGAGTTTTTGGTAATGCCTGCAAGTTATCCACAGTTTGCACTTGGAGGAATAGGGTTTAAAGTGCGGAGGGAGCAGAGAGGGAGGAGAAGCTTGCACACGCGGCCCAGCAGCCGTGTGG